CAACCTTTTCCAGTAGCATTGCAAAAATACAGCAACATTTTTGATAACAGCAAATCCTAAATGAATTCACAATGCAGCCCCCTTATCTTGCCTACATTCTTTGCTCCCAAATATTTAAAATATGACACAAGGTCAGTTTACAAGATAAACACAACCCTCTTAAGAGGGGGAAAGAAGTTAAGTCAAACTCCTTGCCCTACATGAAAACAGGAGAGCTCACCAAATACTACATTTCTGACACACAGGCACACATATTTGCACATGTAGGTTTTAGAGAGAGAGATATATACACACACGCACGCACACACAAGGCATAATAAAACGCTACTTCCAACTTGGAATACACAACCCCATTTTCCGAACATCCTACTGAATTCCTTTTAGTAATGGAACTCTGCTCTGTGATACTCACTTTTTATTACTAAGTATGAGTTCAGAACTCAAGCACAGTATGTAGACCTTCTTTTGTGCTTTCTAAAAAGTCATGTATTGTCTCCTCAGGACTGTACTTGGGGATAACAATACCCATTGTGACCATAGTCCATACAAATGAATCTCAATCGGAGATGACACAGTCAGTGACAGTAGCATACTACCTGCCTGAAGTGCTGCAGGACGAGCCACCTCATCCTTTTGACTCTGACATAATCATTGAAGAATGGCCTTCTACTATTGTTTATAGTAGGTAAGAAACATTTTAATTTTGTTCTAGTAAAAAGATGCAGTTTTCCATTTGGGCACGTTACATCTTTTAAATCAAGTTCTAAAAGCTAACAAACAGTAAAACTTGATTTTTAGTAATTGTTAAAAGCTGCCTGCTTTAAGAGACTGGGATATTCAGGAAATAATGGTTACCAACTTGCTTGAGAAAATGATGCATCTGTAAATGCGAGATACAATAGCATCTCAAAACACAGACTATTCTGTGTAGCTGGGAGCAAAGTGTCTGACATATCACTGAAAACGTTAAGAAAGAACTTATGTGTTTGAGATCAATCACAGTCAGGTAATATTATTTGCGAATCATGACTAAATAATTTAGAAGGAGGCATTTCTAGGCTCTGGAAAAACTGTGGATTTTAAAAAGAACTTAATATGAAGTTGATTCTTACAGGAGCTTCAGAGGAATCACCAATGAAGACTCTATAATGAGAGAAATAAACCTGTTGGCGGATATTCTGGAGAGTCCCGAGTTGTGTTTGCAGGATACATTCATCATTGCAGGATATACAAACCCAGCTGCTGCCAATCGACACAATGAGATATGGTTCCTTCAAAGACCATAGCCTCCCATTTCTGATGCCTGTCAGTCACAAGAATCAGTTCTGATTTACTGGCAGAATCTTACAGGTGAATCATGCGAGACTAGATATCAAACCCTCAAAGATTTTAGAAATGTGGCTTTTAGCCAGTTTAGCAAGGCAATCACTCCAACTTAATAATCAAACAGAGGTAACACCTGAAACGTACAGTTTCCTATGTCAACTTTTACAGTTTTTACACAATTTTTACGGAGATTTTTAGCACTTTTAAAAGTCAGTTCACCTGATGTTTTTTGACAAGATAAGGGAGACAGAGACCTCTCTCCTCATCCACTTATTAGCATCTCTAGACTGCTTTTGGCTTGGGACGGTCCTAGGGGAGATCCTGGAGCCCCTGCCCTGGGCACCTAGTGCTGCACTAGCTGCACAAAGACCCTGCTGGGACTTTCAGTGGGACACATATTAAAACCACCTCGCACATGCAGGCAGTGCTTCAGAAAAATAATGTTCAGGTCTTAATTTCTGAAGAGAACTACCAGGGATTAAACCAAGGAATAAGACTAGGCCAATGCTGACTGCTTTTAACGTCATCATCTGTGGAGCAGAGATTCTTAATGCTTACCTCAAAAAGCATTCAACCAAAGTACTTTTAACCTTGAGAAGAGACCAAGAAGGCAGAACAGTCCTAATGCTTATTAAAGTCTTGATAGCAAAAGTTACAGGTTACCTTAATCACACACTCATAGTAATCCCATGACTATATGTGGCATTCCCAAATAGAAAGTGGTTATTCTTAACTCTTCAGTTTTCTGAACACTTTCATCTTATAACTTCGCTGAATGTTAAAACACTGCAGCTGAAGTAACTTAGTTGTTCAGTACTTTTTACACTCCTCTGGCAATACCAGACTATTAATGTTAGAAATGACACAAATATTCCACAGATTCACAGAAAAAAACTAAGCTAGAAGTGACCACTGGCAGTCACCTGGTCCAGCCTGGTGCTGGAAGAAGGGCCAGCGTTGCTGGCAGAGCAGGATGCTTGGGGCCTCACACGGTTGGATTTTGAGCATCTCCAGGGATGAGGAGCTTGTAACCCCTCTGGGCCCTGTGTCAGTATTTGACCACCCTCACTGTGAGAATTTTTCTTCCTAATATCTAATTTTTCATGTTGCAGCTTGTTTCTTTTACCCTTCATCCATATGATAATTCTTCGAGGAGACAAATGCTAGTCTAGCACGCTGTGACTGAAAGACAAGCTCACATAGTTCTACATGCATCAGAAAGTCTGAAAACAGCACTCATGCTTTGCTACGTACTACAGTTAAAGAGCACCTACTGCACTTCAGAATCAGGGTAGCAAAGAGTTTTGCTCTCAAAAATCCCTTCTTAATATCTCCCCTTACAGATATGATGGTAGGGTTTAATCTTAATAGAAGTAAATGTCTTTTTATATAAAATTTCATGAAGTATATCACCAACGTTATTTATTGATTATAGGATTTAGGCTTTGAACAGAGCTTTTGTATTCTTCAGTTACAACATACAAAACAGCAACCAGAGCCAGTGTCTGCTAGCTTACAGTAGTGCTAACTCGCAAACAGAATGGATTTGTGTAGTACTTCGGACTGAATAAACGTACAGGTCTCAAGAACTTTAAGCCTCCTGGTTTCGCAAGGCTCTCTGCTGCTCAAAACTGACTTTACGCTTAACCTAAAACGTCTTGCTGAGCAGCAGGATCAGGGAGTGCCGGCTGTCCCCGGCTGACCGTGCTTAAGTGTGACCAAGGTGTTCTCTGGTGGTTGCTGCCCAGAGAGGTTACTGGGGGAGACAGCAAGGAGAATTTGGGGGGCGAGGAGAGAGAGAGAGAGAGAGAGAGAGAGGCCTTAGTTTTAACACAAACAAACTGATAGTCTTTGTGGGGAGGAAGAAAAAAACCCAAAAAAAAGCAATCCTCACTTTCTTCTTCTGAGTGTCTGATATCCCTAGCTGTTCAGATATCCTGCACTAGTTCAGCACAGACATTTGTATTGCCACAAATTAACTGGATGTTAAACTGATGGAGGGGAATCTCAGAAAAAACTGTGGGTTTGGAGTCTTTCTTATTCCAACCAGAAAGCTGTCAAATCTGGTTTGCCAGGTGACAGAACAAATGCTTGTGCCAGTTGTGGCCACAACTAGGAACAGTTTGTCTGATGTGCTAATTTAAATGCACGTCAAAGTATTTCTTACTTAACAGAACAAGAAGATGAAGATACCTGTCATGTCTTTCACTCCTCTCATTTGTTCAAGATACAGGATCATAGCCAGGGAAAAAAATTCAGACTTCCTTTTCTATATGTTGAATTGTTTCCTGTTTGATTTTTATTTATTTTGATTTAGTTTTAACATTTCCTCAGGTTGTTGGAAATGCCAGCCAGTATTAAAGTGAAAGCTAACAAATTAATGGAAAACAATAAGAAGTTTTTAAAAACTGAGTTGAGTAGAGGGCCCAGGGAGGCATTAAATAACAGGTTTTGTTTTGCCCTCACCTCCCCCAAGATTTTTATAAGAGCAAATAAAAACAGTTTTCACCTTTGACAAGCTTTTATGGCAAATTAAAGAAGTTTCTGCAATTTGATTACTTTTGCCAGTTATAGAAATTATTTTAATGCTTTGGCACAACAAATGTCAAACAGCTACTGGAAGTAGTTAAATCCTCTCACCATAAAGTACCAGTTTGTACATATTTTACATTTTAAATGTCTACTGCAAAAAGCATTTGCTATATCTTATGTCTCTTTCCGTAGGCAATCTTCACCTAAATACTTCTGTGACTCAGCTACTTGTGGGTATGTTATAGGAACATTCTTGTTACTGAAACATAAAAATAAGGTATTTATCTGGATGTGCTGATATCCTGCAGCAAAGTGTTCAGTGTTGTTTTATGTAAAACTGTGAATTCCAAGATAGTATATATTTTGACTTATGTTAGACGGTTTCTGCTGCTGAGAAAACCAATTAATCTTGAGTTTGAAGATACACTTTATGGCTATGGAACATTGTACCAACTTCTGTACATGGCTCTCACAAGCACGGGCACGAAGAATTGTGTTTTTTCACTGACACACAATAAAGTTTACTTAATAATTACACCTGTGAATGCCAAGGAAATGTTACTATTACTCAAATACATCATTTTAGAAAGTTTGAAAACATCATGTCAAGCGTGATTACCTAACTCCTGTTATCAGAATAGGTATTCTATTATCCATCCATGGCTCTACTTTGTAAGCCATTAATGAATGGATTTTCATTTTTAATTTGAAGTTACTAGATTTCCACTACTCAAAGGAGATAATAAAACAGAATTCATCCACATTTTTGGAAGATTAAATGATGTAGCCTTAACAGATAAACGTTGTCCTGCATACTGTGTATTTTTCAAACAAACATTAGTGCCTAAAAAGTTTATTCCAGCTGTTGTGATACTCAGGGCCTTGCTTATTGTATGTATACAAATATAAACATAATTTTTCCAGCATTGTTGCGTTGTGCTGTTTTACACTGTCCTTCATTTTCACTGAAATGTCGTCTTGTTTACTGTTACTGTTTGTCAAAATTAAAGATAATGATTCTATTGTGCAGAGTACTCCTGGCTTTCCTTTTTTTAAACAGACATACAAGTCCTTTTGCTATCTCTTCTTTGAATGGGAACAGCAGAAGTCACAACTTACTATTCTGATTTTACAAAAGTCATTTAAGTCCCAAATTTGAAATGGTCGCTCTAAGACACAAAAAACTTAAATAACTTTCAAAACACATACATTCTTTGAAATAAACACGTACATTCGGAGCTATGTGTCTCCGTGCTACAGTCAGCAGGTCTGCTAGCAACTCACTCCTCCTCACTGCAGAAGCCATCTGCAACCCCATCTTTGTCAAGCGCCCAGCACAGTCTCCCACAATTCTTACTGCAGCACAGACTGGGGTAGGACTGGTTTCAGAATCAAACTGTAGAGAAGCAGTTCTTAACAAAGAGTGATGCATGTATCAGTTTTCTCCTAAATCCTGATGCCATTCAGAACATACTTCACAACTGATTCTTTTGGCGGGGGACAAGGATAATGCAACATGTATTTGTTACTTCTGTGGCTATATTGATCTCAAACCCATCCTGATCTCAAACCACTCAGAAGCCAAAACACAGGAGCATGGTAAACAGTGTAATTTAACTTCAGGGCATGGCCGAGGTCCATCGCTGTGCTGCAGAAAACTGCACAACTACAGAAACACCTCTGCAGAAACTGAGGTACAGGAGCCACTTTTGAAAGTGCTGAGGTCTCCAGGACTAAGGCTTGGCTTGCCCACGAACGCTGGAAAAGGCTGGGGCACCATCCTTTCACGCCCTCCGTGCTGCTACAGTGGGTACAAGTCCTATTTTCTAAGTAAAGCAGTAGCAATACAAATGCAAATACCAGATCAAAGAAAGGAAATAGAAGCCAGTGAAGCCACAGTGACAATTTAGTCAAGATTAGTCTGTACTCCTCAATTATACCACATCAGCCAAACCTACGTGCTTATTTCAGCTTAAATCTCAAGTAAGACACCTCAAATTAAATCCCTGCACTCAATAGGAGCATTCAGAGGCACCTGTGGTGACGCAAAACTATCTTTAAAGTTCTTGCTATCTTATCAGTGGAACTTCCTCAAATAAATACACTCTCAGGTTACTGGTTTGAAAACAGCTGATACAATTCAATCTAGAAAATGAACGAACGAGTTTGCCTTCCAGCGGTCTTCACATACACTACACCAAAATCATTAAACTTTAATCAAAAACATACTCTAAGGCCAACAGTCTGATACCAACTTAATCCTAATTTTTTTTTTAATGTCTCTTACCAAAACAAGAACACACATTTTAAACTTTTCAAAGTGCTACCTTATGTAACACCATTTGTCTACTAGTACCTCATTGAGAAGACACAGTCACCATTGACTGGCTAACAGTTCTGGTCCCTGCTAATCTGTCCTATATTTGGGCATTACATACTGGTAAAAAAGAAAAGAAAAAAGCTCTCAAGAGAAAAATTTAAAAAAAAAAACCAAACCACCCACAAAAAACCCAAACAACAAAAAACCCCACACAACAAAAAACAACCACAAAGCCCAAAAAACCAACCAAACAAAAAAAATCCAAGAACTAAGTACACTTACAGATGACTTAAAGCTCTAAAGAATATTCTTAACTAGAGAAAATGTTTCAGTCAATATACAGTTTTCATAAGGCTGGCAATCACCTGGACAACACAAGCATGGCCATTCTTAACATCTTAATACTACTAAATTCAGAAGCCTTCAGCTTAGGTCTCATGCCAATTTTGCAAGGACTCCTGAAAGAGGGTGAGAAAACTAATTCAATTATAAGTTTTCCACAGAGCTTTTTAAGATACTGCAAGGCAACAAGTATCATTGGTGCAAAGTGAAACAGCAGCTGCTGTAGTTGAAACCATGTTTTTTTGTTTGCCTTATACTCAAAGGCAAATTTAATTGCATAGGAAAGTGTTACCTTAATAAGTTATTGCTAGTCTAGACAGAGATGTTAAAATAGGAAGGGAAATTGTGTGTTTAGAGACACTGTCCATTTAACAATAAAGAAATGCATCAACTCACCCGGATGTACGCATTCTGAATTTCTACCAATTCTTCACCAAGTGGAACAACAATTTTTTCCACTTGTCGCTCATGAGAATAAGGCTGAATTTCTGGAGAATCTTCAGCACATAGCTCTATCTGAGCAATGAGTAAGTTGGAAATAACTTGCTGCACAGCCTGTTTGAGAAGCCACAAAAAAGACTGTATTTGCTTGTTAACACTCCAACGATGCAAGTCAGTATCACATGAAAGTAACAATTTTTTAACAGGCCTTGAATATAATTTTAAGGTAAAGGTACCTACTACCCATAGATGAAAAATGAGAAAATCTCCACTTAAAAATCTCAGGTGATATACAAAGAGCCAACATGGTAAGTTCATGAATGCAAAAAGCACGCAATTGCACGAGGGCTGGAGTGACAGAACTCTCGCTTCGGCTTTGGGTGTACCATGAAACACCTGATGAGAAGTAACCTGGAGGTAGGAGCTTAAACTGAATTTAGATGTCCATCTGCCATAGACTGAAACCCTAAGCCTCACTTACATTTACCCAACACACTACACTGAACAGAATATGAAAGCCATTTTGCATTGAGACTATATTCTTTTTGGTTCAAGTAGGTTTGTATTCTCAAAAACCAAAAGGTATTATGTCCTTTTAGAAAAGTCAGGAAATAAATAATACAAAGTCTATAGCATGAAAAAGACAAACGCTCAACAACTAATGGATTGTAAAGAGATTCAGTTTTTATGTGGCATTCTAATAGACTTCAGTACCCTGCACGGTGTTCAAACTGTATCAAACAGTATTAAACATAGCTTCTACTGAAACTTTATTATTCCAACCACGCAAGTAGATTTAACTCACCTTTGTATCACTGCCTGGTGTGGCACTTAGGGCCAAGATCCGAAATTGATTTGTATACTTGCTTAGTTCCCTTACAACCTAAGAACAGGAAAGTTTCCATTAATCTTAAAGGAGATTATTTGCTCATACAAACTATATCAATGAAAATACGCACTAAGTAGAAAGAGCTTAACAAAATATTCTAAAAAGAGCGTATCTAAATTCAAATGGGAACCAGGAAGTGTTCAGTTTATAACCATTTTATCCAAGAACACTTAATCTTGTTTAAGTATATTACCCCAGTCCCATTCAGCATAACAACCTTGGTAAATTATGAAATGATTTTTCACTTGATTTAACAATAAGATTAACAGCACACTAACTCAAGTAAGCTGCCAAAAAGTAAGTTTGAAGAACCACTCTAAAAAAAGTAAATCATGGATGATTAGACCCATGAAATCTGAACAGAGATTAGATGACAACCACCAAGCCAATTAGTATTCAGTTGAGTCTCACTTTAAAATGTTGCATTAGCAATTGGGGAAATGGATGAATATTCCTTAGACCTCCCAGGTTTTCATTCTACAACACTCCCGAAGACCAGAACTGGGATAAGTACAATAGTTGCTGAACATTCAAGCAACAACCAAATCGCCTCTCTACTTCACTTTCCCACAGAGCCAAACTCCGCCAGTTCTACCAGTGAACACCGTGCCTTCTGACCAACCACCTTGCGCTGCACAGGGAGGGGAAAAAACAATTAAAATTACAAATAATAACAAAGAATAAGTGAATGGGGACTAATGAGGAATTCAATTTGTGCTGATAGGTCTACTGAAAACCATGCAAAGGTATAGCTAAAACAGAGAACAAAACCTGCCAGTTTCACAGCCATGGGGACTGCCAAGGGGTGATGGAAGAGGTTTTTCTTGGCTATAGCTAAGAAGACTCAAAAGCTAATGAATACAAGTCTTGGCTCTATGTTACAGAGCGATTAGCATAATAGTAAAATATTTTAAGAAAAGATTTTTATACAGTATTTTGAAATAAAATAACCTATAAGCTTAAACTCTTTGAAAATGAAGTTGCTATAGTTCTGAAAAATGATAGAAGAAAACTGCAACACTGAAGAAAACAACATGTACTGTTATAACTTGGCAAGCTACCATCTCTTTTCCAGCATGCCATGTTAGACAAGCACTAAAAAACACCTACTTTCCTCTAACGAGGCCTAGTAAGCAACTAGACACAACTCCATATACATTCAATTAATTTCTCCAGTATATAAAACTGTAACTTTCTTTTAGGTCACATACTGCTATGAGGAGATTAAGCCAAGATAACACAACAAACTCTTTGCTAATTAAGACAAAACCCAATTTTAAAAAGAAATTTTGAACTCTTTTTACTAAGATAAAGAGCTTTACAGAAAAAGCCCACACTTTTTTCTGAAAAAAAACCTCCCCCCGTTGAAGAGCTATTCCAACATAGCACAAACACACCAGAGTACACCTGCAAATACAAACACATCTGAAAGAAACAGCATAGCGACTTTTTTTTTAAATTGCCCTAGTCAAAAAAAATTTTGAAACAGAAATTAAAATTTTATTCAAACATTAAAAAAAAAAAATCCCACCTCACCTTACCAAGTTTTAATACAGGTTTTACTTAAAAAGAAGGCACTGACAACACAGAGGACTGTTTGGTCTCTTTCAGACAAAGCTAAGGACCTAAAGGACAATCTCCCTACACCAATGATGACAGTGACACTTCATGGAGATCCTGTAAGCGATTTTGGGGGAGGTTTTTGTAATCATGAGACAAGAGTGGAGTGACTCCAGCATTACCTGACAGTAGGCGTGATTTCCAAGGGCTTTGTGGGCTTCATCAATAACCAAACATTTAATCTCTATAGCAGGACATGTCCCACGAGAAAGATCATTGACCATTATCTGGGGTGTAAGGAAAAAGACTCTCTTGGTATTCCACAGTTCCCTCCGACTGAGAGCTTGGGTTCCCCCTGAAAATTAAAGAAATAACATTAGTAAACTGTTCTGCTGAGAACATACATGACCCATGACCTGAGAACAACAGCAGAAGTCTGACAGTGCTTGCAGATGCATGTCGGCTTTGGGAAGTGAGTGCCTTTTAAAATAGCAGACACCTTGGTGCTATTCCCATCTTCAGGGAAAAAAGGTGAATGCAATGACTAGGAAGATTTTTTGCATTAAAACACTAAATCTAGAACCATGGAAAACAAGGCTAGAAAACTCAAGGTGCCCCCTCGCCTCCCGCAGTCCTATACCTAATCCACACCATCGCTGACAAAGATTTGCGCTTAAAAACAGGTTATGGATTCAGTCATTAAGGCTATTACTTCAGTAAGCAATAAACTGTAGTTCATGGGGTTTGTAAAAACTTTAAAAAAAAGAAAAAAAAAAAAAAGAAAAAGCCATTATTCTTTGTCTTACGTTTCATACACAGCATATTTTCTGTGCAGACATTTACACCTCTGTGCCGGAACCCCAAGGCTCTGTGAACCACAGGGCCGCACACCAGAGCTCCAGAAAACAGCCTTCTACTGGTGACAAACTTTTAACTATTACCCCTAAAATTAACCCCTTAAAAATCTTCGTGTCCCAAAAAATGACGCAGCCTCGATGTTTGCGGCTCCTCCGAGGCGACCCCCGAGCACGACGCGCCCCGGAGCAGACCCGGCCCCGTCCCTGCCGCCGCCCTACCTGTCATCTCGGCCATGTGCCGGGCCGAAACCATGTGCCGGGCCGGGATCCCCATAACGCGGGCGCAGGCCTCCATCTGCTGAGCCACCAAGGGCTTGGTAGGCGCGAGGAAGAGCACCTTGCCGGAGGGGAACCAGCGGTAGAAGTTGTACATGACGACGGCGGCCACAAAGGTCTTACCCAGCCCGGTGGGCAAACAGACCAGTGTGTTACCCAGCAAGGCGGCGTGGGCCATGCGCACCTGATAACCGCGCACCGGGTAGTTAGTGGGGTAGATCCAAATGGACCCCGCCGCCGCGCAGAAACCCGG